TTTATTGAAATAAAAGAGGAAAGGGGAGGGAAATAAAAAGATACAATCCCTCTCCTCCCTTTTTCCCAATCCAAATATATTGAAAAAGAATATGAACCAACCCACTAGTGCTAGTTGGTTTTCACCCCATGCACTAAAACTACTGGTCCCACTCAACGCTTTATCTCTCTCCCTTTTTAGGGGTCAAACAGTTTTTTTTTTTTTTTTTGGTAGAAAGGATAATATCATAAAAGAAAACCCAAGAAATACATCGTCAAGTTCTGCGGAATTCAACCCCAACAATATATGCAATACATGCATTTATAACAGGTTGGAGGATAGATTCAAAAACAACAAAGTCTTCAGACAAGTTGTGCCCCATTTTAGCCAAAATGTCCGCAGCCATGTTTGACTCACGCATCACGTTTGAGAAATAGCATTGCCCCCAAATTTCTCACTTTGATCAATAATATCATTGAGGTCCCCCATAATAGTCCATGAGATCTCAACAACACTTGCCATACTCATTAATTCTTGCCACAAATTAGATCTAATCTCAAATTGAACTCTACCATAAATATCTGAGAAAAACCAATTAAGAGGGAAAAGGGGATTATTGTGTACCTGCACAACTGCATGGATTGCTTGAGGAGTCTAAGAAACCACTTCTACTGCAACAATCGAGTCATCCTAGAGAAGCCACAAGCCACCTGCTAAACCATCTGAATCTACAATACAATATTTAGGAAAACCTAAAGAAGCAGCATGGTCTTTAGCATCTTCCCTAGAAACTTTTGTTTTCAAAATCAACATTATAGAAGGATTATGTAGCCGCTTGAGATACGGTCAAACAGTAATTTCATAAACTTATGCTTGCCTTCCTCAAACTTTGGACTTGTTCATTACCACATTCATGGAAACCACGCAGATATCTTTGCATTCAATTTTTTAAGAGTAATTAAAAATGATCTAAAATGATAGAAAAACTTTTTTCACATCTAATTTTGACCATATATTCTTACCAAAAGGTTTTGTGAACTATACATACAATTATCACATAAATTAATGCCTACGTAGTAGGGATGACATATATAGAGAGCATCACCGTGATCGTGGACAAAGATAGTGGTAAACTCTATAAACGATGAGCGAGAGTAAAGCAAAAGTAATTAAAAGTGGCAAATTGAGGTGGTGCCGTGCCATAGGTGAAGAACCAAGACCAAATTTTGAATGTTGACTTGTGATTTCCTAAACCTTAGAAGCAGAAGCTAAACAGAAGATGAGAAAGCGAGGAGTTGAATTGGGGAAAGAGAGGGACAAC